TTCAATTAGCTGTGTAAAGATTTACTAAGTCATGTTCCTTCTGATGGAATGCTCGTCCAGCAGAGTGAAGAATGCAGTTGCAGAATCTGTGCAAGCAGAATCAGAGAATTTACGACAACATTGTGAACAAATCAATCACTTCCATCCTTCCATCCACATCTCTCTCTTCTCCCAGTAATGTTTGGGACACTATCAATCAGGGTAGCGAGCCAGCTTCCACGAATCACCGTTCTTACGTCTCTCATAGATTGCTAGAAGATCGCAAACGGATGTACTGTCGCTGTCTTTTTTCAACGATCTGATCACATTGAAATACCGTTTGTGTACATAAAGTTTATACAATATTTATACTAATGAAAACAACTTAGATCATCCTCATCCTCATATCAGGGGGTTATGCAATTTTCTTAGCTTTAATTTTACATTTATTCTTCTTTCTATAATACACTAACTATGTCAAAAAAGATTAACAACCTGTACTGAAACTTGTATGCGTCCCGTTTGTAACCGTCTCTTTTATGGTTGAAATATACATCACCCGAGCATGTTTTGTTGTTCTGAAGTCACCATAAGGAATTATATGGAACCCTCATTTCCATAATTAGCATTTATACTTGTAGTATGATTTACTGTTACAATTGATACAGAAATTCTGGGAAACGCATTTGGTATGTTGTTGAGCTTTCATCATTAGCCTGTAGTCTTATATTATTTCAATCTCTTTTTACCAACAGGGTGTGAACGATCTTATTTGTTGTGTATATGTTATTTTTTTAACTGATCAATTTTTTTCGTTAACTTTGGTGGTCTATTTCTCTGTATGGAACTCTCTCGTTTGTTATCAATAAGCGTTTTTTTAACAGTTGTGTGATGGTGTTGTATTTGGAAAGCAGAATCACTCAGTTTTACTTATCTAGTGTGTATGACAAATATAATTGCATCTCTTCTCCGTTTATTTTTCACTGACTTGATTACTGCATATAAAAGCGGCATTGGTTTTTTTGGTCTAGCCGTGAATAATTGAATAAATACGATGCCCCTTACGGGTGATAACATATATGAATTATTTTACTGTTTATCTAGGTCATCATTAGTTCTGTAGGTATATTTGAAGAATGGGCGTGTTAAGAGCACGCTGTTTACTGGATTTGAACCTCGGTTCCATCCTGTGACTACTTTTGAAGCCTGGCAACGTCTGTTGATTACTTTATTGATGTGCAAATGATTCCTACTCAAATATCTTCGAGCCGTTTTTGTGTAAGTGGATTCATATCTTATGAAAGATAGAAATGTTAGAGTAATATGAGGTTGCTTTTGTAAACAAATAATTGATGTGGGGCGTAGAGGAATCGGTGATTTGGTTTGGCGGGACACGTACTGATAGGTAGTCTGACAAGTAATCATTGTCGACCATAATATTTCTTTAGCTTTTCTTGTAGCTGGATTGGCTGGCTGACGCCACGTTACTAGGTCCAAGCGAAGCTTACGTGTGTTCGCTAGGCCTGGGCTATGTTGATTCCTGGGTAGAGATAAGTTCCGGCTAGGGTATATTGTTAGATCGATCGAAGGGAATATTGGAGTGCCGTGCATAAATTCGTTGTATATTCCTTTGTTCTAGAAGCAATGTAGTGTTCCATTCGTATCAGGTAGAAGATACGAGTGTTCCCCTTCAAAAAAGGTGTATGCCAATAATATTATATCCAAATTAGGTTAGTGTTAAAGCCGTTCCTTGAATAATTAATTTTCTATAGTCGTGTTTTGTAACAACTGTACATTAGAAATATATTCATTCCAACCCATAAAATCGAAACGGAAATATGTGCTCATGAAACCCTACATTTGTTTATATTATGGATCACGACAAAAGACCAGTTTTCATTCGAATCTGTCGAATAAAGTTTTTCATCTAAACGTGTCCTATAGGACTAACTAGCATGTTTATTAGAGTATGAATCAACCAGTAGTTTAATTCTCGAAGCCTTTCCCCAACACAGTCACTCAATCCTACTCAAATTATCTACAAAGTACATGTCAGAATCTTGTGAATAAAAGAGTTATCAGTCAATCCAATTTAAGTTTTGTGTTAAAAGCAACGTCTACTGACATGTTAACCCTCTCCTAACTTTAACATACTTTATACTAAGCTTTTATCACCTGTTTGTTTCTTCTTCACCTCTATATTAATCGAATAGATAATTAGCCTCCATAGTCTGCCAGCTATTTTCAACCTTTTTTTATAGTGAAATTTCCGCACACCAAACCAAACGTTGTAGTAGATCATTATTCATACTGATTATCTATAAAGTAGTTGTAAATGTTCAAGAAATGATTTTATCGGAAAAAAAAATTCGATCTTCCTATGTGCATGTGACCTGTTGGTATAACTTGTGTCCAACTAGTTAGACAATTTTGTGCACATCCTTTTTCGAATAGATAAGTCTTACCAGACGGGAACTTTCGTTTATGTTTTATGGCCTGGGATCTGACTCCGATTTGAACGAACAAATATGCTATGAAATAAATCTTCCCTTAGTAAGCAATGCAAGTACACGCACGAATAAACGGCAAGGCTAAAGGATGTGTAAATAATGACTCGAGAATAGATTAGTTAGTTTGTTCAAAGGCTGGGACAAGGCATATGAGCTCGACATTTTAGTACACGCTACATACAGCGCACAGCCAATTGGATGCATACGAAGTATTCAGGTATTACGTATTGGTCAATCGGTCAGCTACAACGTAGAACTTCGTACGAATTTACATCAGTTCAGGTTGCCATACCACATTAGCATAGAGATGCAATTATCAATTAAAATTCCATAGAAGTAGAGGTAGTAGAAGTATTAGAGGTAATAGAGAAGATTAGGGCTCAAAGATATTATTCAAGAAGTATAATCCAGTGGAATAAATCCAAAAATCACGAGGGATTCGGATTATAATTTGAGCAAACACAAAGAATGGATGCACCTGCACCGTTGCAAACGATTTTGAGCCGTCATCCAAGGTCTGTAACCATTGGTTACTATCGTCTCGCGAACACCAAACTGGTAGTCTACACCCACTAACATGGCTCTATCTAGTTGTCAGTGACCTCATGGATTTGTGCCATTTTTGGTCTTCCCGTCCCTAGCTTTCTACCAGCCTACCCCTACACCACAAAACATCGCTCGTCTGGGTGTAGTCAGTGGTTGGGCATACGTAACACATGCCCCAACCATCTCCACACTTCACCGACTGATTTCCCATCCTTAACTAGTACTCGTATCCTCACAACTGCATTGCTTACTCGACTGTCCCTGGATATATACGAGCAATGCATCGAAGACACCGGTGGTCGAGTACTAACAGCCTACGAATATCCTCTACTCCTACTGGCCATGCTTCACAGCCATAAAGTGGTACGTAACACATGTCCCGACAACCTTTACCGATGAGGACTCGCTACTTCACCAATTAAAAGAGGTATCTAACAATAACGGCGATTTAACTATACAGCAACACAATACCACTGAAATATTGTGAAAGCGAACCAAAAATAAACAACAGTTTGTTCTAAAAGGATTTGTTTACTTGACCTGAGGTGGAAAGATGTAAGAGTTATCTGGCGCACCATGAATTTCGTCTTCGAATCAGACAAGTTAGCGAAGTTCGATACCCACTTTTTTAGCTAGGTAGTTACTAATTCAATACTCTGGTGGGCTAGACCATAAAAAGAATCCTAGATTTTTGGTACAACAGCCGTAGTTTATTAAAATGCTAGTAAACCTGGTAAGAGACTCTGGTTTAGGGAAACATATCTTATTTTTTGTAAGTAATCACTGCCAGAGAAAGAAGACATTAATTCAGAGGAACGACAATAATTATTATTCAATTCTATATTTACAAATACTTATGTGACATGATTATGAAAAACGAACTGGGCGCACAATATAAAGCAGGAAATCTGAACGGACTAATTGGAAGATAGTCACTGGCAAGTAAAAATATATGAAAATAAGGCGCAATATTTTAATAGTAGATAGGAGTAAAACAACAGTAAATTGATTTATCCTTTCAAAATATACAAAATATCCGTAACAGATTGAAAAACATATTTTGGTCGCAATAGTTCATTCTCTGGTAAACGGTTCACTTCATTAATTAATGCTTGATTGGTGACACCTGTCAAGACGCATACCGTGTGCAAGCCAAATTTATTGCCAAATGCGATATCAGTATATAAGCTAAGAGTTAAAAGGAAGAATAAGGTGAAATATTTAGTGTGAAGACTAGAGTAATTTTTTTAATGAAGAGGGGAATAGAATATGTTCAAATTTCTATAAAGGATAAAACCAAATACATGTAAGTCTATTTTATCTACGACAAGTTTGAAGATAAGTGTAAAGAATGCTTTTGACGAACAGTTTCCAACTTATTTGGCATGCATAGGTTATCATTCACAGTCTTGAGCCAAAAATGGTATAAGAGCCCGTGATACTACATGGCCGGTTGAGAGCCAAATTTTTAAATCACGAGACCATTACTCAACGAAAGACCCAAGTAGTTAGTGTAAAACTCAATATCTACAGTTACGACCTCTACTGACCGACGACTGTTCGTCAGTAGCAGGTCATGCCAGGTAGGAGCTGAATTGAGCTAATAAGTGTTGTCAGACAGTTAAAGTGTACAGTGGTACAAGATAAAATGGAAATTATAACCAGAGCTATTCAGTTAGAGTACGGAAGATAGAACGGACATAAGATAATTGAAGACAGAACAAGAAATTCAAAGTTTTAAAGTGTTGTCAGAGGTTCATGAAAACAGAAAGGCATACTAATTACGAGTGGAATGATAGCCAGATAGGAATTAGGTCACATAGGACAATACATATAAAATAGAGATTAATTAGTACGATAGCACAGTTTATTTAATAGTGACTCTACAGTTTTGATTCACATATATTTATTGAGTAACTGACATCTGAAATGTTTGTTTTGCTGCCGATATGAATTTTAAACTTGATGGGATCTATAACTGACTGTTTGAGTGAAAGCGGGTTAAGGTATTCAGATTTCATACTCATAGAATCCAATAAAATTCCTACAAAACTTACTTTACCTAGCTTCCTAACAAAATTAGCTTCTCATTTAAAGTATTGAGTTAACATACTTGTCTCCCACCATTACAGTTTTCGAAGGATCCAAATCGCAATATTTGGTCAGTAGATCAAACATAGGTTTATGTGGTTTGCCAAATACGACAGGTTCCTTCCCCGAAGCAACTCTGAAGGCCGACACAATAGACCCAGTACCTGGAAATATAAATTACAAAACAGGATTTGACAAAACCATGGACTGGTAAGCAGTCATGAAACAACTTTGTAAGGACCAGGCATCTTATGTCTTCACAAATTGTTAGTTAATGCTTTTGCATCGTGATTCAGCTAAACCTCCAATTTTTAACAAATAACAGTAGCTACACTGAGATAACCTAAGTTTATGGATTTTAATAGTGGTTTCAGGTTGACAAAGGGAGAAGAATATCAGAGCCAATGATTACCTGTACAGCATTTTGCCTATGAAGCCATGGGATCCAGTCAATTAGTGAGAAATTACATAGGAATCTAGCACTAGCATATGCAACGAAACTACGTTAAGGTATCAGTTTGTTAGTCAGAGGTTTCATACATCAAAAATAACTTCATGAGATGATATATCTAGGAGTAAGCTGTTGTAATTTTAATAAGGGGATTTATACTACCAAAATTTATAGGTCACCATTCTGGTGTGAATTGATAGGATGAGACGTTGTGTGCTTCTCATCGAGCAATCATCTAGTTACCTATTTTATGATGGACTGCTAATTCGTGTCAGGCAGATAGAGATGCTAAAGCTGACATAACTCTTGCACCAGTAACTGCATTTTTCTAATAACAGGAGAACAAGAATTTGATCTTAAAGGTCTAACTAACCTGGCAAAACGGCATTTCCACCTGGTAGTTGAGCATCTTCATTCGTAGCGTAGAAAGAAGCCCCATTGTTTATATAGGCAGCTCCTTGCATCAATTTCCTGTAATTAAAATGACCATCAAAGCCGACAAGTACAGCTTTCACCTAAAGTATGAAATAACTACATATAACTTACATTTGGTCTTAATTCCACTCCCTGAAGAGGATTAGACGAATCGATTGGGGAATCAGGCTAGACAATATGAAGAGCAACAGATTAGTGTTACCCCTATTCCAAAGTGAGGTACTCCAAATTCCTTTAATTCAGTGCTAATCCCACTTTCACCAACCACATATACTTCCCCATCGGATATTTTTTCTCGAAGGAAGTAAGCAGCAACACGGGCTGTGCATATTATATTTTTCTAAGACAATAATTCGTTCGCATATCATACTTCCGAAACTGGGAGTTCTAAGCCTTGACACTTAGAGACGTATTCTTTTACAGATCTTCTGCTATTATTGGTAATTAAAAACACGTTCTTTTTACAGTCGAGCAAGTACTGCAAAAGCTCTCGAGACGATGGGATAAGGACGTTAGAATTCCAGAGAACACCTTAAGGGTTAAGAAACTTCCATCCTCACCATCACAGTCAAAAAGGAAAGTATCACAAGCACGCAAAACTGAAGACTCAGACATCATTCATTCGCTGAGGTAGCTGAGACGTGAAGGTCAAACTGTGATGTGACGATTGGTGCGTCAACTCGATAATTTATAAGCCTTTCCAGAAGCGGTTAAATCAAGGCCTTTCAAATTTGATTTGAGTTCAGTCGCGCTGCACTATAGTCTCCACCTACAGTGTAACAATGTCCAATATCCAATATCTTTTTCACGAGCTAGTATAAACCAATTGATCCCTTTGGGCTCGATTCTTGTTCTTTCGACACGGACTGAAGTATAAGCAAGGGGGAAGAAACAGAGATATATATCGAGTTAGTGATCTAAGGAAATAGTAATAAAAACAACTATCAAGTTTCGAGACATGTATCAAGCATAGCTAGTCCACGAGGGAGATGATAATCCATATGTGAGTACGTGTTTGTTAAGTCTCTTCTTGAAGCTATCCATTGAGGGGGTGGTGGTCACTTCTGCTGGGATAGCATTCCAAGTTTCAATAACTCTTAATGAGAAAAGGTGTGCGCGAACCTGGGTGTTAGCTCCTTGAAGCGCACTTTTTTGAGGATTATCCGGAGGGCGTGGCCGTGGTGTTTCGGTAAGATGCTCATGTTGGGATGATTTGACGTACTTAATATGTTGTACACCATAATCGTATCACCTCTGATTCTCCTGTAACTTAGGGGAAATAATTCCTAGGGCTGAAGTCTATCTTCGTAAGTTATATTCTTCAGCCTATCACCCATTCTGTTTCTCGACCCTGCACTCGGTCCACGAGATTTATGTCTTTTTGAAGAAGAGGCAATGCGACGGCATTGTGAACCTGCAGGTGTAGGTGCGCATACGTCTTATAAACAACGTTAGGAATAATTCTGGGGTTTGATTTCTAGATTATCGGGATTTACATTAGTAATCCCGCGAACGAATATATTTATTTCGATTTACTATAATTGGTGAGGCACAACTACGAATACGCATTAAATCCGGTCAGTCTGCAATTTTTCTATCCGATTTTCTTACTATTTTATCTGTTGTGTGATATAGATCGATACATATATATATGTATATATTACATAAAAATGACGATTTTTTGGCCGACTCAATTTTCGACCTGTCGCGTTTATTCACCATGACCTAGAGGTCTGGTTTGCGGCACTGGAATCTCAGTATGGGATCCGCCGCATCACTAACCAACAGCATATGTTTGCCTACGCCGTGGAGTCCCTTCCTAGGGATCACAGCCGCCGTTCGTGAGGTCGTTCTCAACTCCATAGTTCATGATGTCTACGATAGTCTTAAACAGGCGATTCTTAGACATTTCCTCCCATCGAGGGAGGAACGGTTGAGGACACTGTTAGCACATCACCCCCTTGGTGATGCTAAGCCAAGCCACCACCTCACGCACCTGCAATCATTGGCAGGACTAAGGGCATCTGACTCTGACGTATTCAGAGGATTGTGGCTAGAAGCCTTACCAACCCACGTGCAGCCAACGATTACTGCTCTGCTCGAGGATACACCAGTTAACGAGGCTGCCCTCATAGCAGATAAGATAATAGCTCGGATTAGCTGGCGGGACAACTACATAGTTGCCTCTAGGTTACACGAACAGCAAATTAATGGGCTTTCAAGTTCAAACAAGTGCGTACCATATTACAGGGGTATTTCATTCGCGTGATGACATATTTCACGCGTTACTCGGAAAATTTCCCCAGCTAACTAAACCACTCGAAGAGAATCTATCGGCGACTCACCATGTGATACACCACACCGTCACCCGTGGACCACAAGTCACGGCACAACCTCTCCGATTGTCATCGGACAAATTAACTTTCGCTAAACGTGAGTGTGACAATTTACCGTCTCGCACTCTAGTTGCCGCGTACGCCAACCTGTACGTTTCCTCGAGTAACCACCCAGGCTACAACGGATGCGTGATAGTACACTATCCTCGTACTACATGTATGCTACACTTTTCTCTTGTTCTTCCATTTTGTATCCTGAGCTCATGTCTATGACCATCAACCTGTTGGTACCGTCGACTTCAGTCAATCTTGGTGAAAGCTGGCCTGATCACCCACTCTCTTGTCAATGCGCTCAGTCGATGTTTTCGTTTCGAATGTTCTGGTATATGTACGGTTTCAAACTTGGTCGTTCTGGTCGTCTCTGCCTCCCTCACTCACTCTGGTTCTGTTCTACGTTTGCAGCTTTTTCTGGTACGAACCCTTATGAACGCAGTCTTCAGATTCTGGATACAAGCCATGCTGGTGTGCCGCGCCAACCCGAGCACTAAACTTGGCACTTTAATATTGGTACAGTTCAACATGAGAGAATTTCGATAACAACTCGAGCCTCATTGGTCACCTCCTTTCCGTCAACCCTTCCGCCCTGCAATCGCCCGTTAGCCGACCAGCCCCCCTCCGCACCAAACCGCTACGTATCGAAAGTGTATACCCTTTCTAGGGGGTGGCTAATGTAGTGGTATACTTTCACGAAGACAACACAATTGCTGAAATATAAATATTTATTATTGCACTTAATTCTGACAATAATTTTTATATTGTACTACTTTTGTTTATCTGTACAGAGGACTATCGCGCGCCAAGCGTGTTATTCTCGCCCCGCTCTTCTCCTAGCTGGTTGTTAGCCGCTTTTGTACCCTAGCCTCGATATTATTTCGATATCGCAAGGCCAGTGATAAATATACTTCTTCATCCAGAATAATCTTTTCTTTGATTTCTGGATTATTGGGATTTACAATAGTAATCCCGCGAAGGAATATATCCATTTCCATTTACTGTAAGCCTTGGCCGTGTCTCCTATATAGTCCGAACTGTTGTCCAGGCTTTCTGTGGTTATTAAATCGAGATCGTGCTCTGAGGAGACATTAGGGAGAGAACTTCCATTGAGGATGTCAGTCGTTTGTGTCACGTTTGGCAAAATGTTCATAACGTGACATTTCGACCGGTTTAGTTTTAAATCGTTTTTCAATGCCCATTCCTCGGAAGACGTAAGCTACTTTTGAAGCTCAGTTGAATCCCCTTTGCCTCTGATGTACCTCCAGATGTTTGCATCGTCTGCGTAGACCTAAGACGGACCACTGAGTAGCATGTTTTCATTTATCTGGGAGCTGGTGTGAGCTTTCGTTTAGTCGTGAACCTAAACAGACATTTTGGATTTGTCTGTATTTTGGAAGCTGGCTTCATCTGGGAGTGTCTCCCATCGCTTCGAACTTCGGCATTGCATGTGTTCCTCAATGCTAGTTAAGGACTATGGCTTTATTCCTTGAGAGATACCTCCCACTTGTGCCCGGCTCCCCCTTCGCCTGTAGCAAGTGTTCAGTGCCTCGTTTAACCTAAGTTCTTCTCTTTCCCGGTGTGTAATGTGCCTGAGGTTCATTGTTTGGGACAGCATTCTGTATGATGTCTCTCGATGTTCGACGGTACTCATCTACTGTTAGCCTCCACCTTTTCCGTGGCCATGAAGCGTATAGAAGATAATAATAATAATAATAATATATTTATTCTCAAATAACTACGTTACAAGAGTCACGCCAGTTTACAGGCTAGATCAAATTGTCACAAATGCTTTCACAATTACTGTAAAGTTATAGCAGTTAAATTAAGTATAAGAGTCATTTTCTGATTGCATATTTACACCATGTCACTGACAGAAACAGTATTATACAGCCACGTTTTCAATAGTATAGTACAAATAAGGAAGATGCTCTCTCATGCGCGTTTATTTTGTACTGTTATAGCAAAGGTACTGCTCGTTGATGTCTCGCCTGAGTGTTTCGTTTATCACCATGTTAAAGGTGACTGTGCTGTGGTCACTACTTCCTATTAGTGTCTGGAGGTGAACATCCTCGACCAGGAGCTGATCGTTTGGTAACAAGTAATCCAAGTTTGAGGATTTTCCATCCTCAGTCCATTCAGTGAGGCTGCATACATGGTGCTCCAAGTTGCCTTTGGGACTAAGCAGTGGAAGTTTCATCCTGTTTACCGAGATTTAGACATGGAGCGTTGAAATCTCTACTTAAGTATACTTGATCAAACCTAGGAGTGGTTGCAGCAGTATTACCTCAACCAGTTTATCTTTCTGGGCCTCTAGTAGACAGACAAATTGAAAAGCCTGTAGATGCTGATCAACTACTGTCAATTACAAGGAACTCAAACACCGTGTATCATTGTGAGTATCTTCTTATATAAGTATTAACAGTTTAACTAATTTTTATTTCCCCAATTCATTAACATCCAAACACCTTGCCTGCTTACCGATTTATCGCTTTACTTGTTAATTTTTAACATTATTTCAACTCTTTTTTTTTCATTTTCTCCTCGTTTCAGCCCCATGTCCTTCCTATTTCCAAACTACCTATTAATTGACTCATCTTACAAATCATACCATTCGATTACTTAAAATCAGTGTGATATGCTATGCGGGCATATTGTCTGACAAAGTTGTCTGGATCGCTTGTAATGTTGGAGCTAGTAGAGAATGATAATTCCGATAAGGTGTACAAAAAAAATTGAGAGTAGACTAGAGACCATTATTTACAATTAACCATTAAACGTAAGAGAGCCTAACATCACAAAAGGAGGGAGGGTGGTGTATCTGACCAGCATTCATGACGGTGGGGCGATAACCTCAATCTACCCATGTCTATGTGGCAGAACATTTTGTTTGCTTACGGCTGCTTACGATACAGCAGGATGTAACAAATCAGTGATATTGATGTTACTTTTCCTTGTTAACCTCGTCTACAACCCATGTCTGTAACCTTGCACTGGTTTTTACTTCCTACCGAGAAATCCTATTACAAGCTGGTCTGGACAACTATACTAAAAAAGAGCTCATTCATAACTTCTTGAGCCTCAGAGTTAAAAATAAAAAGAATAAATAGAACAAAAAATTATATCACTGAGCCTCTTTATTATATTTTGTAAATCGACATTATTTACTAACAACTTGGTTCTTCTGAATTTCCTCTATTCATTCGACTAACTTCACATTAGTTATCTCCCTACTAAATTGTCTTCATTAACCTACATAAGTGCAGGTGTTTAGTTTTTGTTATGATATTAAAAAAAGTCTGAGTAAACATACATTTGTTTTATCCATAAACGTATGTGCAAAGCCGTTGTTCGGTTTTGAACAAGAATATTTTCTGTTCCGCTTCTCGTCCCGTTTTCTTTATTCCTCTTTTTTCAGAACC